AACGTGTTCTAAAAGTTTTAGAATACAAAATGTTGTATGTTCTACGAAATTCAGAATACAAATTCTATAATTGTTCTATGTTTTGTAAAATCCAGAATATGTATCCTAAGATTTACTACATGTTCTGAAAAATGTAAAATATATATCCTAACATATTTTGAAATATATATTCTGAAAAATATTCAAATAAATAAGATGGAAACAAAATCGGAAAATTAAAAAAGTAAATAAATCAGTTAAGAATCAAATACATGATTCAGATTCTCGACATATTTTCAGAATATGTAATATAATTATTTTAGAAGTAATAATTATTTTACTATTTGAATCTTTTGGCACTCTTGCTCTCTCAGTCTTTAGAGTTTAACCATATATGATATTAGCATCATCTTCACTCCACCTACGACTCTACAAGAGCCTAACGCATGACTTCATATTTGATATTTAATTAACCCTTTTAACGGAATAAAAGTCATTCAAATTACAGCGTTTACTAGAGTTGTTTATTAAATTTGAGGATAAGTTTGGGTTTCAATATAGGAAATATACCCAGGTTATTAAAAAAGCATGATCAATTTGATAAAGTAATGTCTCATTACACGAATGTACCAAAAACACCAAGATAATTGAGTAAACCGGACCTAAACCAAGAACAAAGATTTCGTATATTTTAGCTAGAGTAACTTTAAGATTCGAAGACGCTAAGCTAGAGTAAGTAAACATGTGTTTACTATCCTCTGCTCGTTTGTTTTTATGAAAAAGGTTTTGACTTTTATGTGTTCACTTTAATTCGTGTTTCTTTAATAGACTTAAGATTCACTCTTTTGAAAGAACTAGAACCTCAGTAACTTCTTCACAAGCTTCTGATCTTTATATGTCTTTCCAAGAACTTCAGCCTCATTTGCAATGGCACTTATCTTTGAGCTAAACTTAACAATGGTCTCGTCTGGTTCCATCTTAAGACATTCAAACTGAGTAGCTAAAAGATTTAGCCTAGTACGCTTAACACTCGTCGTACCTTCATGAGACTTCTGAAGAATATCCCAAGCCTGCTTAGCTGACTTGCATCCTTGAATGAGTTTAAACTCATCTTCATCAACACCACTGAAGATGGCATTCATGGCCCTCGCATTGAATTTTGACAGATTCTTTTCTTCGGTAGTCCAACTAGACTTTGGTTTAGGTATTTTATCTCCTGCTTCTGTCTGCTCAAATGGAGATTCCCATCCTTCTTCAACCGCTGTCCATGCATCTTCACCTTGACCTCTGATGAGCTGTGTCATTCGAACTTTCCAGTAGCCATACCTCTTTGTATCAAGCATGATGTTCTTGCTTGTACCCGCACCATCGTTAGTAGGTTCCATCGTTCAGGATCTAACCTGTTAGGAGACGAGAAAGTCTCACAGATCGGTTTCCCGCTCTGCTACCAATTGAAAGAACTAGAACCTTGAAAGTACTACAGAGATATGTCAATTTCTTCAAACTTGGTTTTATTAGCAAATCTTCAAACAACTCTTTTTACAAGCTTGTTTGATCAGCTTTACCCAACATCACACACTGTGATTTGGCCCTGATCGATTCCTAATCTACCCAACTTACAAGCACAGCAACAGCTATGCACACTCTTTTGTTCACTCACCAAAAGAACCCAAACAAGCCTTAGCTCGAATCTCAGACTTGAACTCAAATAACTCTCACACTTTTTACTCTCAAAAGTGCTAACCCTAATAAGAAGAAAGCTCTCTTCTTATATAGGCAACAGAACAGCTCGCAGCTCCTCTCTTTATCCAGCGGACACTGCGCAGCTTCTTGTCATGATGTTGGCTTCGCTAGCTCCCCAGTAGCCAACAACAACTACCTTTTTAACTGACATCTTTCCATGCTTTCCTGCACTGGTTGTCACTTCAACACTTTGACTTTAATACCACCACTGGGCGCCGAACCTGCTCCTCCTCATTATGATAAAAGTGTTGTGCTGTCATCCATTGCCACGCTGGCATAATGCTTCTTCAGATTCTTCTGAACGTCATTCAGGATCTGCTATGTTGGACCTTCAGACACTCTGTTTCTTCAATCTCCCCCTTTTTATCTGAATGTATGCCTCAAGCTTCCTGCAAGCACTAAAAAACACACATACCCAAGCAACCAAGGCAAACACAAGCATATACAAGCCACACAGATTTAGCAAACATAATATCACATCATTTTTAAACAAGTTCAACAGTCAGATAGTAAACAGACTGAACCAAAAGGAAACAACAACAATATCCGATGAGATTCCGATAACACCCTATCACATGGGTACAATGAACCTACAGAGTACAGACTAAAAACCAGCTCCTAAGTCCTACTCCACACTCTACTGAGATCAAACACATAGGTTTAGCCACTTTGACTTTCATCCGCTTCTCCTTCATCGTCGGAAACCCCAGGTTCTGTCTCCCCCTGAAACTGTTGCGACCTTGGTTGCGGAACAACATCCACATATTCTCCCTCTGCTTGAGGGCATTTATTCATATAAAAACAGACTTATAGAAACAGAGAGACACATGAGAGACTGGAGAAAACTTACCTTCAAGCCGTTGAAGCATGGTCTGAGTAAACTCATGGAGATGCTGAAGATCGGCAGTTAGCGTGTTGTCTGCAGCAGAGTGAGGAGTCCTTGGTGGAAGCATCTCTTTGGGTTCAATCCGAAACTTAGCAGGAGCAGCTGAGGACACATCACCCTGAGCAGAAGGAACAATACGCTGAAACCGCAGCAGTTGATCAATCAGATTTGGGAGGACCAGTCGAAGGTTGGAGGACTCATTCATGACAACATATGAGCAAGCTCGAATTTCATCAAATGCTAACTTCCCAAAGTTAATGGGACGACCCTTCACAACCATGAACAGCAGGGACGAGCGTTCAGCTTTCAGAGCATTGAGATTCACTGTCGGCATCCAGTTTTGGCAGCAAATCTTGTGGAGCAGAGACATTGCATCACCCATTTCTCTCTTAGAGCGTCGCTTCCAGTCGCGAACTCTACCATCAGTGAGGAGAGACACCACTTGATTCAAGGTTTCAGAGATTTGAATTTGCGAGCCTTCTGAGGGATAGGGCGGAGAAGGTAGTTGATACAACTGATTGATGATCATAGGAGAGAACTCATAGAGTGATCCTCGCACAAAGACCTTGAAAACCTCAGGATCATCACTCTCAGCTTCCGGAAGATTGGCATAAAACTCCTTTACAACGTTTTCAGTGAACGAATCGACCTCAATGGCAGTGGGAAGAAGACTTACAGCAGACAGAATCTTGGACACTTCATCCCACTGAGGACAGTCATCCAACAGAATCCCCATTTCATTGAAGATCCGACCAGTTGACTCTTGTCGTTTGGAGAGAACCTGAAAACGGTGCTCTGCTTTAGGAGAGATGAAGAGAGAAGAGAATGGAACAGAGGACGGAGTTTTCAGTTCTGGATAATTTCTATCCCGACCAGCCACAAGACGCCGATTAGTTACATAGCGAGTTAAGAACGACGGCGGATCCACTTCTTCCACATCGGAGTCACTCAGATCTGGTTTGCGATGAGGTTGAGCAGCTGTAATCTCTTCAACGTCTTCAGTTTCCCGAAACGATGGCTGGGCAGCAGCGCGATGAGGAAGCCGGCGAGACGGAATTGTAGAAGCTTTTGCTTTGGCCTTAGAAGTCGAGCCTCTCGTACACTGTTTCTTCCTTGGAGGTTGAGAAGTGATTTTCGGATTCACTTTGTTAGAGACTTCTGGTTCGATCTTAGGAATTCGATGGAGAGGTGCTGTACCAGATACAGTAGCAGCGGAAGAGTTTTTAGCACCTTCATTACCAACCTTTTCTTCATGCAGAGGAGCGATAGGATCTTCGTTCTCCATTGAAGCTGTTTTGAAACTTCTGATTCGCTGAAGGAGCAGAAACACGAGATCGAACTGGAAGAGGAAAGAGATGAAGAGTGGAAATGCGAACAGTCTCGAGAACGGGTTAGGGTTTCACTCCTTTTACTTTCCCTCTTCTTTTGGGGCGAATCTCGAAGATGAGAAGCTGAAATCACTTAACACTTCAGGTTAAAACGAGTAATATGGCCCAAGGCCCAAACAGTACAAAGATATTACCCAAAGACACACTAGCCAACGAAACATTAAAAAAAGAAAGAGCCCAGTTAGGCAAAAGATCTAGACTTAACATAATGGATTAAGAAAACACAGCACATCAACTGAGATACTGACATAGACAACCACAGCTAATCCAAGAACTTTCGAGAAAATACAGACAAATTTGAAAATATATATATATATATATATATATATATATATATATATATATATGATCTAGGAAAGATGATTTTAACAATCAAGAGAGATAGGATACACACCTGAGACATGTTCCAGTGATCACACAGAGATTCCTTTTTACACAGGTGCATAGCTCAGAGAAGTGAATCAGAAGAATATTCAAAGAGACAAAAGACAGAGAGATTCAGTTACCTAGCACAGTGGGGTGACAAACTTACCCACAAATCTTGTTCAGGCTAGACTACATTTCTCATACTTCCTTAGACAGATATTATCCTCAAGGTGTGGAGAGCTGCTCTCACGGCGAGGGGGGTGATGAAGATAGAGGGATCCATTGACTTCCCTTTTTTTTTTTTTATATATATATATATATTTTTTTTTTTTTTTTTTTTTTGAGAAACACTCTTGGTACTTATATACATGAATGTATCACAGAGTAGAGATAGAACCATCACCCCTTTCCTGCCTACACTTTTCTGGAGATTTTCTTTTTCTTACAGTCATTACACACCCGTATTGGATTTTCTTTCATCTAGAAGCATGAGAAATAGCTGTTTTCCTGAAAAGAATTGCTAGACAAAAGTTTTATGCAAACAAAAATGAAAAGACAAAGTGAGTGCTCAGATGAGCAGTAAGCTATGCAACTCTGTACAAAGGAACCTGTTGCATGAGCTTTAGAAACAAGTAACATCAGTGGTCACACATTCCAATTGAATTTTTAAAGTTACTAAAACTAATAAAATTCAAAGGTTTTGTGAAGAGTTTTGCAATCTGATTTTCTGAAGAGACATAAGACATTTTAATAGTCTTGTTTGCAATAAGTTCTTGGACAACATGGTGCCTAATATCAATATGCTTATCAAGTTCATGATGAGTGATGTCTTTCAAGGCATTTATGCAATCAGGTTTGTCACTGAAAATAGATATGGAAGGGACAACAATACCATAGTCAAATAGCAATTGCTTTATCCACACCAGTTGTGTGTAGCAGTTTCCGAAAGCATCAATCTGAGCTTCTCCTGTACTTCTGGCAATGTATCTCTGTTTTTTGCTGTACCATGATATAAGATTGTTTCCCATCATGAGACATCCACCTGAGATACTTTTTCCATCGTCTCGATTTCCTGCCCAGTCTGAATCACAAAAGCTTGCAAGACTTTGATTAGTATCTTTAGAATAAAACAGACCAAGACTTGTTGTACCTTTCACATAGGTTAGGATGCGTCTTGCAGCATGAAAGTGAGACATCCTTGGATCTTCTAGGTATCTAGCACAGACTCCCACACTGAAACTTATATCAGGTCTTGTTGCAGTCAACTGGAGTAAACCAGACATCATTTCCTCATAGAGCTCAGCATCAGCCCTTTCTTCATGTTCACTTCTGGACATTCTCAGATCAGTTCCCATGGGAGTTTGAGATTCTCTATTCATTTGAACTTCAAGTTTCCTGAGAATGTTCTTTGCAGCTGATTCTTGAGAAATGTAGATTCCACCATTCGTCTGTTTAATCTGAAGACCGAGACAGTATGTCATCTCACCCACCATGACCATTTCAAACTTTCTTTTCATCATTTCCACAAAGTTGAAGGCCAGCTCATTTCTTGTGCTTCCAAACACGATATTGTGATCAAAGGTTTGAACTATAAGTAGGTTCATATCCCTTTTTAGCACAAACATAGTTTTGTTAGCATTACCTCTTTCAAATCCATGTTCAGTGAGAAACTCAGTAAGTTTTCTGTACCAGCCATACGGAGCTTGTTTCAATCCACATAAATCCTGTTTGAGTTTGTAGACATACTCTGGGAAAATTGGATTTTTGAACCCTTTTGGTTGAGTCACATAGATCTCATCACGGCTGTCACAGAAGGTTGAACTTCCAAAGAATCCCAGCTGGAATAGTCTGATGTTCAGAGAACACGCCACTCCTATCATTAGGCGAACACCTTCTAGACGTTCAGTCAGATCAAAACTTCTATCAATGTCAGCTCTCATCTCATGACAATGTTCTTGAGTGATGACATATGCCATATTCTGAATGACATTTCATTGGTCATGTACCATATTTCTGAATACCCAAAATGTCTCCATGACTTGAGCATGAGTGGGGGTGCACTAAGTCCCATTAGCCATTTCTTGTGAGTTGATAATTTCTTCAGAGCCAGCAGCAACCCATGACTCATGAAGAAAGCACTAGCCACATCTTCAGGTTCGACTTTAGATATGAAGCATTCATACACTTGTGTGTCTTTGAGATGTTTCCCATTACTCTCACCAGATACACCACGAGTATCATCACAGCCTTCATCAAACTGAACGTCTTTTAGTAATAATTCTTCAGTGATCATACCTGTTTTGGTTTCTGAGTCAGCCCTATCATTGTTGATGCAGTTGAGACCACTTTGATGACGATTTCCTTCTATTGAGTCCTTAGAAGGTTCCCATATGTAACAGTTGTTTCTTGAACGAACCCCTGTTAGCACCTCAACTCCTCTATTGTTGACCGCATAACAGCCTTTTTCATTAAATGTGACTTGGAAGCCATCATCACACAGTTGACTGATGCTTATAAGATTTGCTGTTAGCCCTTCAACACAGTAGACATCCTTCAGACATGGCTGATCAGTCTTGCTTATCTTACCCTTTCCTTTGACGATTCCTTGTTTTCCATCTCCAAAAATGACATTTCCACTTGGTATCTCTGTAAACTCAGATACCATACTTTGATCACCTGTCATATGTCTTGAGCATCCACTGTCGAAATACCAGGAATTTTCACCAAGAACTTCTATTGGGAGTTTGACCACTGGGAATTGCCTGTCATCAGTTGACTCTTCAGCAATGCCCATACAACACATCAGCTCAATATTCACAGTTTCTTCATTATGTTGAATGTTCGATGATGTTATAGTACTAGAGAATGAGTAAACTTCCTCTTCTGCAGAGAGCATAACTTCAATGTGCAGATTTGACCTTTCCATTTTAAGATCTCCATATAGATCTTTCTTAGCAACCCAGACGCAGTTGAACTTGGGTGGTTCTAAGAAGCATTTGTTGAGAGCCCATAACACAAAACTTCTTTCTTTGAACTTATAGCAGTATTTTCTTTGATGACTCTTTCCTCCGCAATGACCACAACCATAGACCCTTTTTATGTTTGGTCTCTTGAAACTCTTCTTTCGAGCCTTGTCCCGTTCTGTTTTCTCCATGACATCTTCTTGTTTAGATGTTTCTTTTGGAGTTATGACTGAACCATCTTTCTCTTTTAAAATTCCTCCACTGACGAATTTGATGGAGAGATCTTCAGATATACCCGAGTAAGGAGTATGACCATGATATCCCAAGCCTCTATGGATAGATTCAGTTCTTCCCATAGTGAGAATTGTATCCAGCTTACCCGAGCCATTATTAAGCATTCTAATTTGCTTATGTTTGGAGTTCAATTCCTGTTCAAGACCATCAGCTTTCTCCTTTTCTTTGTAGTATTCTTCTTGAATGAATTTGATCTTTTCTAACAATATCTCAGCAGACTGTTCAGGGGACAGGACACGTGCTTCTTCTTGTGAATCATCCTTCTCGTAGCAACTTTCCAATTTGGCTTGTAGGGACAGCTTCTGTTGAGTTAACTCCAGTTTATCCTTACTAAGTTGAACCCAGCTGTCATACAATATTCTGTATTCTTCCTTAGCATCAACTTCATCTCCACTCTCCGAGTCAGAGTCAGAGT